TATAATAATATTAAGTCAATAGTATATTATTGTTAGCAATATCTAATCTTAAGTTTCCGTTTAAAAAAGACAAATTTTATAATAATTCTACCTGCATAATTCTCTACATTTGGTATTTATATTATGTTTAACGGTTAAACTGGCTTGCATGGAAAATTCCCATGACATTTTTATGTAAACTTACATTGAAAACTCAAAAGAGAAGTTCGATGTAAATAAACAAGATTTAAAAAAAAAAAAAAACAAAGTTCACCCTGAGAAAATCCCTAACAAAGAAAATCCTGCAATAAGTCATATTTCTATAAATATACATGTATATATATGCACCTGGACAATGCTAATCGCATGGCGACTCCTGCCGCTGATGCTGCTCGTACTGGCCCCACTGCAGCCGACACAGGCGATATGGTTTCCGTGGTACTTTCATCGCTATGGTTTCGAGCCGCACAGCAGCCGCCATGGCGCAGCTATAAATGTGCCACCGTCCGCTGGCTCAGAGAAGGCTGCCACTCCCGCAGCCACAGGCTCGGAGACATCCACAAGCAAGCCAATCCAGGGTAAGGGCGAATCTGATGTATGTCCGCCTGGGTATCAGCTGAAGGACAAGAGCACCGCCACATGTCCGCCCGGCTATCAGTTGAGGGGCAAAGACTCTAGCGTTGGCAAGAAAGGTCACCTGTGCGATGACAATCCACTGGTTATGCAGCTGGCACGCCTCTACGTGATTAGTCCGGAGCGCATTGTCCTGCTGCTGGCGCAGCCGATGCTAGGCGAGTCCTGTGAAGAGATATCCGATGTGCTGGATCGCATCAGCAGCGCCACAAGCAATTGCATCGTTGCCGAGGACAACATCTATGGCAAGCTGGCTGATGGGCTGAGCTACTACAAGTCGGAGGTCTGCGACGGAGTGAACCGAAAGCGCCAGGCGCGACTTAACGAGGCCCACAACTGCCTCAAGGAGCTGCGCACCGACATGATCGAGTGCGAGGGCCCAGCCGATTGGTATGAGAAGCGCAATGCGACCAGGGTCTGCAGGGCCTTCAATGATGTGCTCGACTGCTACTACACGCGCAGCGCCATGCTGTGCGGTCGGGACGCAGCTCGGCTGCTCAGATCCTTTGCCGGCGACAGCATGAAGCGCGCGATGATCAATAACTGCGAGGTGAACAGGCGGCTTCCCCGTGTCACAGATGCTATGCCCGCATTCAGTGTTGCGTGTCCTGCTACGAATTCCTTAAACATTCTGTTGGCTTTTGCCTTTATCATTTTTCTTGCATTTTAATACGCATATACATATACTTATATTTATATAACCGTATATAAGTTCATTCGACGGCGACACGCTGACCCTAGAAATCATTTATCAACTGCCTTGACTACAACTCGAGGGGCTTCTAATGCCAACTTAAGTGTTTCGCTACAGCGAGTAAATTTCAATAAATACCCAACGGGCTTAAACTGTCGACAAAATAAGCCAATTTACCTACAACCCCAAGCGCACACACACACGTTTGCTACGTGTGTATGTGTAGCAACCGCAGGACACATCTAGGATATATTCGGTTTTGGCTTGAAGGTTGCCTACAAGCAAAACTCATCAATTATGTTGACGCGGACTGCAAATACATGATTGTATGTGTGTGCGTGTGTGTGTGTGTGTGTGTGTGGTATGTGGCGTGCCACTATGTGTGAACGGGTGTGCGTGTGCGTCGGTAAGTGTTGTTTTTGCTAATGACCCTGCTCTTAAGCCATCAAGAACTTGCGGACAGTTATAGCCAGTTATCGGTCAGGCATTAGCCTTTAACAGCCTGACAGCCTATTAATCTATGGCTAAATATAATATAGAGATGTATCTTATTTTCTGAGCCGAGAATTAATGCTCTTGACATTTATATTCAATGCATTGAATTTGTAATCATAGGAAATAAGCTAAGTTTGAGTTGTTATATCATAATATA